AGTGAGTGTCCTGAAATGGGACTGATGTGACTGTCACATAAGAACGTGACATCCTGTCCACAGTCAAGTGTAGGGCTATATAGCATGAATCTTAAAAGGTTTTATTAATAAAAACAAACCAGGAGCCAGGTATTGGGGTGAACACTGAAAGATCAGAGAAGCAGAACAAGCCACAGCTAACCTCACCTTGATAATTCCTCAGCTGATCTTGTTTTTCTTCAAACTGGAAGCCTCTGAGTCCTCATCCAAATGGATCTCAGCTGAACTGCTGCTAAATGCTAAAAGCTTAAAAAGGTTCTAGTTCCTGGTTTTCATGTCTTATATACCTTTCTGCTTCCTGCCATCACTTCCTGAGATTAAAGGTGTGTGCTATCATGCCTGGCTGTTTCCAGGGTGGCCTTGAAATCACAGAGATCCAAGCCGGGCGGTGGTGGCGCACGCCTCTAATCCCAGCACTCGGGAGGCAGAGCCAGGCGGATCTCTGTGAGTTCAAGGCCAGCCTGGACTACCAAGTGAGTTTCAGGAAAGGCGCAAAGCTACACAGAGAAACCCTGTCTCGAAAAACCAAAAAAAAAAGAAAAGGAATCACACAGATCCGAATGGATCTCTGGTCCAGAATGCTAGGATTAAAGGTGTGTGTGCCACCATTTTCTGGACTCTATGTCTATCTAGTGGCTGTTCTAGTCTCTGGCCCCAGATAAGTTTATTAGGGTGCACAATATATTTGGGGATACAATATTACCATACGTGCATGATCCAATGTTGCCGAGTAGAATATTTGTTTAACTTTGTAAAGATAGGTTGCATTTTTTATGCTGTGTTTGACTATGTAAAAATGTGTTGCATCTGTTTATGCTGCATTTGTTTAACTATGTAAAGATGTGTTACATTTGTTTATGCTGCGTTTGTTTAATTATTATAAAGATGTGTTGCATTGGTTTTACATTGCCCACCTAATGCACCTGATTGGTCTAATAAAAAGCTGAATGGCCGATAGCTAGGCAGTAGAGGGATAGGCAGTGCTGGCAGGCAGAAAGAATAAGTAGGAGAGAGAGAGAGAGAGAGAGAGAGAGAGAGAGAGAGAGAGAGAGAGAGAGA